GTGTGCGCGCGTGCGCGCGCGTGTGTGTGTGTACAGGGAAGGTCAGTGGGGAAAAGTGTAGGCTGCTTGCCCTCTGCACCCACCGCAGCCCACTGTGGCCCCTGCAGAGCTACCTACCTCCAGCACTGCAGAACTGGCTCTTTCATTCTCGCTAACAGGAAAATATCTCTTCCTGCCATCCCTCCAGGATAAGAGAAAAAGGAGCCCCTCTGGGACCTGGGGAGCCATTTCTTCTGGGTCGATGGCCACAATGAGGCTGATGCAATTCAGCGGGGCAAGGAGGTCAAATTGGAAAGACGAGAAGGCAGTCCATGGGAAGGAATTGGCCTCTTCTGTCTCAGGCCTTTCCTCATTCTGTCTCTTCTTTGGTCCTCGTATGCTTGAAGCCCCCAGCACACCACTGGGAGAGTGTCTACCAGGTCCATTGCTATGCTCACTGGGACATGGCCCCCAGTACCTGTAGGCATCCCCAACCAGCCTGAAACAAGGGTGCTGACAGGCTTCTCATCCACAGGATGAAGTTCCACAAGCCATGTGCTGTCATACAAACAGGTCAGTGTGGACTAGCAGGGCACCTGATCTCACCATTGGAGCAGATTCACTCCTATCATTTCATGAGTTTGTCACCCAGCTGGCGTGCCTCAGATCCAGGCTAGAGAGTGTCTGCCTGGATAGGGTGTTGGGTATTAACGCCCACGTGGCTGCCCTTGGAAGTGTCCTGAAAGCAGAGCCGTGGGCTCCAGAGGGCCAAGACAATCTTCTTGTATTCCCTGCGGAAGTTCTTGTTCAGGAGCCCATAGATAATAGCATTTAGGCAGCTGTTGAGGTAAGCCAAGAAGTAGCTTGTGACAAAAAGCCCCTCCGGGACCTGGGGAGCCATTTCTTCTGGGTTGATGGCCACGACAAGGCCGATGCAATTCAGCGGGGCCCAGCAGATGGCAAAGATCACAAACACCATGAACATGGTTAGAAAGCTCCGGAAGTCACTGGGCCTCAGGCACAGCTTGCTCTCTGACCTGGCCTTCCTACGGGCCTGGAGCACTAGCATCCAGATGCGCAGGTAACAGAAGGACACAACAGCCATGGGGAGGAGGAAGTGGATGACCACCACTGCTGCTGTGTACTGGGTGCTGGCCGTCTGGATGAAGGTGCAGGAGTAGATGCGTGGGTCGTACTGCAGTGACCCCACGAAAAAGTTGGGCACCAAGGCCACCACGGTGAGGAGCCAGATGAGGCAGATGTAGAGCGGGGTGTTCCAGTGCCGATAGATCCGGTGGTAGGCCACGCTGTGGCAGATGTAGCAGTAGCGGTTAATGGCAATGGCGGTGATGTTGAAGACAGAGCCAATGACACTCAGGCCCATCACAAAGGCACTGGCCTTGCAGTGCACCTCCCCCAGGGCCCAGCCATCATGGAAGATGGCCACAAGGATTAGAGGGTAGGGGTACAAGGCCACCACCAGGTCAGCCAACGCCAAACTCACCAAGAACGAATTACCTGGAACAGGAAATAGGAGCAAGAGTCAGAACGAGACTCCACAATTCCTAATATGTAAAATATTCTATTCTTTGTCCAGTTACTTAAAAGTAACTGAATTACTGTTAGTATTGGGAATGGAAACAAGTGTCTTTAGAGGTGCAGAGTTCAGGGCTAAAACTGCATCTCTGCTACTCACTAACTGTGTGACTGAAGCAAGTTACTCAGGCTCTCTGAGCCTCATTTTTCTCATTTGTAGAATGGAGTTAATGATGTCTACTTTAAACAGTAGCTGTGAGAATTAAATAATGATTCTAAGGGCTTGGGGACACAGTGGGTGCTCGCAAATGGTAACTATTTTCATATTAGGCACAGATGCTCAGTGGTTTTGCATTATTTAAGCTCCGGCAAGGATTCTGGGGAGAAGAATCTGAAAATCAGGCATCTGGATCCCTTTCCATACACCCACCTTCCTGTATCTCTCTCCGTTTCCCTTTGCATATTCTCCCCACTGGTTAACAGGCTACTTTCCAAGTGTCTTTAATTCATTTTCCTAAATGTGAGTTGCGTTTTTCATGTGAGATGGAAGAAGAGTTTTGAGAGTGGGAACTATGTGTTTTAGTATTCCCCTGTCCCTTGTCTGGGGCCTAAACACAGCCATGTTGCCATGTTGACAAACACTTGGCATGGTGGCTCAGAGTCTAGTCACATGGAGTGGAGAGGGACTGTGGGCGCTCCTCGTCTCATAGCCTCCAGAGGCCTCCCCACTTTGCCTGAACATTCCCCAGTTTCCTGAACTGCCTCCCTCCTTAGAACAGAACATTTTCCAGCATTAACAAGCCCAGCCAACCAGAAAGAGCCTCAGAAGACCATAACAACCATTGATCAATATGCTGCACATATGTTCTGGGCCAGAGTCCTAGGGAAGAGACAGGACTTAGTCCAAAAGAACAGTCTCTGTTCCTAAAGTGTTTGCATTCTAAAACCAACACTGACTCATGAATAAAGTGCTAAGAACCTGAAAATCTGGACAACATGAAGTTCAAGGCACGAGCAGCACCATTCCCAATGTCATTTGTTTCATTTACCAAGTATTGTACTTTTTGAGCACCTACTATATGCTCAAAAGATATTTTCCTACCAGCAGAGGCCCTCAGGGAGACAGTGAGTGCCAGATACAGTGTTTCAAGTCTTTTGGCCTTTTGACATCTGGTGAAGTGCAGGCTGTCAGCCTTAGAGTGGCTGAATGCAGAGGCCAGATGGAATGGATTTACAAGAGAGACTCTCTAAAGAGGCAAGGACACCGATGCTCCATTACCACCATGCTTCTGTTCTGCATGTCAGAGGCTGATGTGACCACCTCAGGGTTCCAAAGGGTCAGCCAGATGAAAGTGGTCCAAAAGGTACAGCAATCAGAGAGGCCAGGCTGTGGTCTTCAAAGAGGTTTTAAAGGGGTTCAAAAAAATGGAGGCTCAGAGCCACCCAGCTGGGAGTTCCCCTGAGACAGACATTCAAGCAAGGTAGACTCCAAACTTGCAATTATAGACCCACAATGTAGAGAGAGGCCTGCCTCCAGCCCACCACTGTCCTGACACATATTCTCACCCCATCTCAAGGACGATGCCATGTGAAATGCTCCATGTGCCCTTGGGAACCTGGAAGATCCACAGACAGCCTTCCCGATGTGCCTATTTTGGCCTTAGATGCTTGGGGCCAACCCCACTCAGAACCAACAGAAAAGAAATCTGTTACCTCCTTGGGAGTTCTCAGGACCTAATTACTTAGGTTAGGGTCTAAGGGAGACAGGATGTAACTGAAAAGAAAGAGATTATTTGGACAATTAGAGTGATTGCGAGGTAGTGAGCTTTCCTGTTTCTCAAGACATCCAAGTAGGTTGATGGCAAAAGAGACTCTGGCGTCAGGTGGAACTGCTAGATTCCTTTTAATCTACTATTTTAGGGAATCTATTTACTTAATGGGATAAAGCCCCCTTGTATTCTTTCTGGTTGGTACCGCAAGGCAAAAAATGCACATCTGAGGACTTGCTTGGGATGTGAAGGGGTCTCCTGCTTCTCCATTTAATTCCCAGTCTTGTTCGCTGTCTCCACAGGTGGATTTCTGTCCCTGACTCCTCTAGTCAGACCTCACTTGGTCCCAAGAGAATGAGAGATTTCCTCTCTCAAAGTTCTTGTTTTTAGCTGAATAATAAGCCCTTGTCTCTGCCCAGAATTTTAAGTGTCCTTTTGACAGTTGGAGGTGGTGCTGGGAGTTGGAATGACCTGGGGTAATCTCAGTTTGGCCACTTTCGGGTGGAATGAACTTGGGCAAGTCATTGAACTTCTTTTTCCCTCGAGTTACTGACCACTCCATCGGTTCCCTCTTCGTCTTTTGTAGGCCTCCTTCCCCCTCCTCACGCACATTCCACACTGCTGTTTCTGTGAAGAATATCGCTTCTTTCCAACACAGGAATTTGGTCTCTTCTAGGCCTGCTAAGCGGCAGACAAGCTTTTGGCACTTGCAGGTACGTGGGGAGAAAGACAAGAGCTGCTCGCCGTCTCCGCCAGCTGCTTCCCCAGGACAGTAAGTGAGTCAAGCTCTGCTGCGTTAATGTGGCTCATCCACTAATAGTGCCCTAGAGGCCGGCAAACAGCTTGTAAATAGTGGGAAGAACACATTTGACTCCACAGACTCCACGTGGAAAGTAATTCAATTACATTCCTCTATTATTCTGGCTGTTCTCAAAGGGCTGAAATTAACCAGTTCCTGCTGTAGAGTCATCTGCCCAGACGTCATACTGTCTCTTGGCTTTCTTGACACAATTCCAAATTAGGCGAATAAAATTCTTGTTTTGTCTCCCATCTGTAAGAAGCCAGGTCCTATCTGGATGACAGTCAATGAAAGACCTAATTCTCTATCCATTTCTTTCTCAGCTAGGTGAGAAATCGAACAAGACACACACAGCACTGCTCAACACCCCCTAAATAGGCTTCTAATGAATATTCATATCACACAAGTCCTGGTGTGACTTATTTCCATCTACCAAGACAGGGCTTGTTAGTAAAGATAGACTTCAATAACAGGGTTTTGTTCACTAATATGGAATTCTATTCCATATTCATAGGCAAAGCACATCTCTTCACACACCAACCATCACAACCCCCTCCTTCCTCACTTTTTTTCTTCTTCTTTCTGAAAAAGCTATTTCTTAATGAGAAACTAGTAATCTGAGAAAGAGCCAACAAGTGTTGAGCTACCTAGTCTTCATCAGATAGGAGAATTCTGGAAGATAAAGCTACCTTCAATCCCTTGCCCCTCTTTCTTCCCTGTACCGACCCTGCATGCCCAGAAGAGTTTGCCCCAGTCACTGAGCTAAAATAGGTGATGTAGAAATAGATAGACATTTACTAAAGAAATATTGCCAAGTACCTGCTAGATACTAGCTCTGCCAGGGACATGGGAAGCATAGTGAGCAAGATAGACACATTCCCTCCCCTTACAAACCTCATGGTCTCATAGAGGAGACAATTAAATAAAAACAAGTTGTGATGAGGGTTATGATAGAGAAACCAACAGATGATCCATCATTTCTAACAAATAAATTTCCTGTGCCTTTAGTCCTTCTTCCAGCCTCCTCCTATTCAAATGTATAATACATTTATTGAGCACCTACCACACTTTGGTAGGGCACAGTGACAGGTGAAACACACGGACCCTGCCGCTAAGATACCAACAGTGATATTGGAGGAACAGACACAGAAACAGGAGTCCTCCAGTGAGGCGAGAGCTGGGAGGAAGGGCAGCAAGAGATGGTGGGAAGGGTGTGGAATAATTAAGCTGGCCTGTGGCTGGGGGCAGTGGTGGGGGATGGGGCTGCTCTGGCAGGACAATGCACCAAGGGGATGACAAAATCACCAAATCCCTTGCAACAGGCTGCTTCCATCCCAGAATGGCTGTCTCCCCAAATGGGATCTTGTATGGGAAAAGGCATAAGAAATAATAATAATCTCCAAATTAATTTGAGATATTTGTATTAGTTACTTGCTGGAGATAGGCATTGAAATGATTGAGAACAGATCATTTATTAAAAACTTGATTTTCTTACACATACTAAAACAATGATTTTTATATGAACATAAGCTCCTAATTTGACTCTCAGATTCTTTGAAGGCAGAAATTGTTTTCCCAAAGAAAACCCTAGAGTGTGTGGATGAATCATACAAGGGCTGAGCTGAAATATAACTTCACTTTAATTAAAGAAGGATAGCTAAACAGGCTAATAGTGTAAACAAATATATGATGGGGAATATTGCAACCAGTTAAAAGAAGAAAATATATTTAAAAGCATAAGTATCTGTTTAAAAAGTAATCATGACTATTTTAAAACATTCTGCCATAATCATCAAATGAGATCACTTGGAGACTCTTAAGGTAGCCTTTTATTATCTTATTTATATTTACTAACAACAATGGGTATAATATCCTAAAGTTCATAATGTACATTTACATAAATTGTTTCTCATTTGTTTCTCACAAGAATCCTTTAAGGTTGATAGTGCGATTTCCATTTTATAGATCAATAATCCCACACTCAGATTATGTGAATTGTCTATGGCTGTACAGATAAAGAGTGAGAAAGAACAGGAAGATACATAGGAGGAAATCAAGAAAAAGAAATATCAAGTGGATTAAGAGTAATGGTGTATTGTTTCTTGGTCATCCACAAAAGTGAGAGAGAAAACAGAAAAGTGCCTGTTTACCCTGGCATTTGGGAGGTGAGCAGTGAGCAAGGCAAATTCTATTGAATGTTGGAGGATAAACTTTAGTACCACAGGTTGCTCTCTCAGTCAATTTTGCCTTCAAGGGAAGGAGAGAAATGAAATGGTGCTTAGAAAGGGAAGTCCTTTGATGAGGGACTGTGCATAATTTTTTTCCTTTCCTTTTCCTTTCCTGGCACATAATAAGCACTTAGTAATGTTAACTGTTATTTATGATTGTTGTTTTTATATTATTAGTAGTTGCAT